TTTGGATTTTGTGGGCATGAGCCTTTGCTGGTTGTCTTTTTACTCTTTAAAGTGGATTTTGATGATTGGGTCTTGGTTCCAATGTGGTCAATTAGTTTCTCCTTTTGGGATTAGTTTTTTATTTAAATTTGAAATAGGCCAATCTAGAAGTCATGAAGATACCCTTTTATGTTCAGCAATAAAGCCTTGACAGCTTCCATTCCTGTCAAATAGGTCTCCCGAGAAGGGTCCGACGTATTTTCTCCCTCCTGTGCATCTCCAGCTGTTCATGAACATGTTGTTGAGACATCAGTGGGTGGTGGTGGTGGAAGGAAGGCCACCTCCAGTTCACTCCACGTATGGTGGTCCTTTCCCGACCCTCAGTCCCATCGCACTTGTCTGCTTGTGTCTCCTTGTGTGATAGCGACCACTGCTTCAGAAGAAACATTGATGTCTGCTAAGGCAACTGACTGCTGTTCTTGAGGAATATGCTAAAAAAATCTTTAGGTTTGCCAAGATGTTCAACCACAAATCTTGAGGGTGTTTGTTTTGTAGTTTTAGATCTGGTAGGCTAAGATTTAAGGAGAATCATGTTAGGATTGAGTCATTTAATCAGTGCAATGGAAACTGTTCTCCATTTGTCGTCTTCAGTATCAGGAGTTTTAGGCTTTCCTCCACAGTTCCTATGGATCTTCAGCTTTTGCACATTTCATTTCCATACGTCTGTGTTTTCCTAACAGTAGAGTGGCAACAGTGGTGGGGTCCCCACGTGTCTTTCCCCAATGTCCCTATGATATATACCCATGTTGCACTGATGAGCAGGGGATTGATTGCCTCTGATCTATCACTGCCTGTCTTAACTACTTAAACCTTTTTTCTCAGTTCCCGTTCAGGACACATCATTATACTCACACAATGGACCCATCATTGCACTCATGCAATGGTTTGTCATGACCCTTACATGGTAAGATGGTCACATGTCTTTCTGGTTTTTGTTTGTTCCTATTTTCTCAGGATTTGAGTGCAATGATGGGTTTGGGAAAGAGCACCAGTGTGGCGAGATGCTGTGTTGTGCTTGCTGTACCAAGTTAACGTGGTCCGCCCTGAGGATGCTGCCTTCCATCCACAGGGAGGAGAGGCAGCCAGGTTCCTCCACGGAGCCACAGCCACTGCTTCCCTCTCTGTGGTCTATTCGTTTTGAGCAAACCACTGGTCCAGCCTTTGTTCAGGTCTGTTCCCTATAGGGGACAATCGAGGAATCTGAACAAGTATTAAAACTGCTCCAGCAATTTAAAATGTTAGGAGACATTGTTACAAGTTTCTTCTGTGGATTATTTCCTGCCCCAAATACTGTTGAGGTGTATTTCTATTTTACTCGTTCTTTCTACAGTTATTTGGACTTCTAGAAGGAATGTTTCATCCGCATTGGTATTACTTATAAACCTGAGTTCAGGAATAGGTGTTTGAATGATAGTCAAATCCTTCCGTTACTGTTTTTCTACTGTTAGCCACTGGTCCCTGTCGATATCTCAGCCACAGCTCCACCTCCAGCTTTTTGGTAGTTAGTTGGCAGTAGGAGTCTCACGAACCTTCCTGCCAGGGCTGGCATCCTGAGTATAGGTGTGAGGCATTGGTGTCCATCTTCTTTTCTTATTGGACGGGGAATCTGATCTGGGGATTAAACCCAGGGCCTGAGCTATTTTGCTCAAGATTAGTGTTCTACCACTCAAGGCACAGCTCCACTTCCAGCTGACCAGGCAGGATTTGAACCATGATCCTCAGATCCCAACCTCCTGAGTAGCTAGGATTATAGGTGTGAATCACTAGTGCCTGGCTCCATATGTCCCTTGGTTTGTTCAATAGAACTGGTCCATGTGTCCTTTGACATGTCTATCCTATGTTTCATAGGTGTTCCTTTTCCCCTGGACTATACTTCCGAGTCATTTGGTAATTTCCCTGTGCTAGCCCTACCATTGTACATTCATCTAAAGAGCCTGGTCCCTTTTATCAGAACACTATGTAGAAAACATGATCTGGGGACCAGGTGTGCTCACTGGTATAAGGGCGTTACTGTTTGTAAATCCTATCCGTGGACAGAGAGAACCAGGAATGATGGGATTTATACTCCAGCGGAACACAGGCCATGTCCACAATTCAGTGCTCGTCCATCTCCTCCATGAAGCAAACAATGAGTTTATGCTACTGATGTTTCTGAGCATGATTCGTTCTCAAGCTCTCGTTTCTACCACCTCATATGTTTATCCACTGTAACTCTACTGTACACACAGCACACCTGTGAAGCACACTTCAAGAAAACAGTACTTAAGACAGTCATTTTTTGCCTCCAGTCCGGAATCACCTTGTTTGTGTGGGTGCTCATGTTCAGGGCCAGGATGCACTGTTGTAACTCAAGGAGAATCCACCTGATCTGGGTTGCTTTCTATCCAATGTTCAACCAGCATCCTAGCGGCTTTTTGTATTTGTCTACCGGAAAATGCCCCTGATGAAATAGTTTGGGGGGCTTGGCTAGGTGTCTCAGGTCACAGATCCATTTCCAGGACATCACACACAGAGAAATGCTCTGCCCTAATCCTCCTATGTACCCTCCCCCCATCCCTCACTGCCTGTAGCCATCGATTTGTTGTATGGTCTCTGTGGTAGTGGTGGTTGTTTGTGGAATATCCAAGAAATTGAACCTATGCATAGTGTTTGGCTTTTGCAACAGACTGCCTTTCCTGTTGGCAGAACACATGTGAAAGCCACCGTGTTATGGCATGAGTTGTCAGCTGCTTTCTTCTGATTGCAGCGTGGTATTCCATAGCCTGGACGGATCAACTGTCCCACGGTTTGTTTATGCATTCATTTGTTGAAGGACATCTTGTTTCTAGCTTTCAGCAACTGTGAGCGGAATTATTACACGCATTTAAGAGCAAGTTTTGTGAACATAAATACTCAATTCACTGGGGTAAATATCTGGAAACGGCCTGCAAGGCCACATGGTCTGTTACAAGACACTGCTGAACGGTTTCCCACGGTGGCTCTGTCCTTTTCTGTTCCCACCAGCCATGCGTGAGCACCGGCTGCTCTGCTTCCATGATGGCAGATCTTGGTGTGTGTGTGTGTGTGGTTTTAGCCACATCCTTGAGTGTAGTGGACACTCACTGTGGTTTGCATTTGTATTTCCATGATACCTGGAGATGTTGGCTGGTCATCAGCACATGTGCTTATTTGTAATCTGTTTTAAAATTGGATTGTTCGCTTGATATTGTCAAGTTATAAGCATCCTTTATGTATTCTGGGAACAAGTCCTTGACAGAGTAAGTGATGTGCAAATATTTGCTCAAAATCTGTGATTTGTCTTTTCCTTCTGGTGAGTCCTTCACAGAGAAAAAGCTTTTAATTGTGATGAAATTCAGTATTCTTTTTCTCTCATGAGTTAAGCTTTGTGTGTATTTCAACTCACCGCCAAACCCAAGATTTTCTTCTATGTTTTCTTCAAAAAATTTCATGGATCTGTCTCACTTTACACTTTAACAAGACTGCATATAGCCTTTGACCATCTCTCCATTGGTCTAAATGCTAGATGTGTTAAAAAAATTTACACACAGAAACACACATATGTATATGCAAACATTTATTCATTTATGTGAGGAATAATGTCAAGTGACAGTTGCATTTGTGTGGGAAAACCTTTTTTATAAAGCAAAGGAAATGTCACTATACAAGAAACCACTATGATAAAACAATATAATTAGGTTTAGGACAACAAAAGGTTACTATTTCTATTAAACTAACATTTCCTAAAAAGTGACAAGAAATTAGTGATTGAAACATGTGAGTAGGCATTTCTGCCAGAGGAAAGCCAAAGAGGGCCAAGTGCAACAACTGTTTTCATGCATACCTGAGGGCCCTGCCCAACATGCCCATAGCCGGTTCTGACACGGAAATGGAAAACTTGGGGGCACTGGAAAACCAATCCAGCAATGTCTATTAAATGTCCAGTAAGCAAACACTCATCCTGCTGCAAGATGCCAACTTTTAACAATAAAGCTAATTGGCTTAAAACACAGAGCCCAAATGCCCATGAAACATAGGATGGGTGATTGCCTCTTGGTAGATCTAAGCTAAGGGTTATTGTGCAAGCACAGCATTGATCATTAGTGCCACGTGTGTAATTCCTGGAGAGAAAAAAAACCAGAGTATGTGGCAGAGCGATAGAGTGCCAAGAACAGAGCCTATCCACGGGGAAGTGCCATGCATGAGCTGCGAGCATGGGGGGGGCAGATGCAGGGAAAGTGCACAGTATTGAGATGACAGTGGAATGGGGCCATTGTGAATTTTGGCATGATTCCACTTCTTAGGTACTCAATTCTTTTGCAAGAAGCACGTTAAATGAAAAAAATTAAGTTGAGAGCAAACGCTGAATTTGAGAGTAAGCAGAGTGAAGATGGATCTGGATTATCCCCGGGCTCCTGTGCCATGTTGCTCTCGGGCTTAGGGATCTAAGCAGGAAGGCAGTGAATGGGGGGGGGGGTGATAGTGCCACTCAGGATGCAGGTAGCTGGTATGGCATTATGGCTGGAGGGAAGAGCAAAATGTGGGACCCCTTTGCTCCCTGGCCATTGCTGTCTGTGTGTGAATGCTGACCGCACGGCAGTGGGGGGTTAGGCCTGGGCCATCACTTCTTAGGGGTCTGGCTAGAGAGTGGCCCACAACCTCAAGTGGAGCAACTCCTGGTCTCTCGAGCCCAGCCGCAGGCCACGACCACAGGACACTCTGGTCTTTACCGGTCATTCCTGGACATTGAGCCTCAGGCACTTGGGGACCAGCCTAGCACCCAGATTGTAGGAACCGAGCTCCACCTCCCCCTGGTCCTGGGAGCACATGGCTATATACCACAACAGTGGTAGACTGGGGTTGACACGATGACTGACGTGTGTCCAGTGGCGGCCCCCATGGCAAGTGGGGCTGGATGTGCTGTCCTTCCACTAATGTGCTGCCCACAATGTGCTTCTCCACAGTGAGGAAGAGCCCCACACTGCTGGAAGTCAGCCCAGCCCACTTCCTGAGAACCAACAGTTTTGCTGAGGACCTGGATCTGGAAGGGGAGACCCTGCTAGCGCCCATCACCCATGTGTCACAGTGAGTACCCAGGGCTGGGCCAGGGGATGAGGCTGAGAGGTGCTGCCTGGGCACTGAAGGCGTGTGCTTGCACACAGGTGTTGTACCTGTATACTCCACGGTACCCAGGCCTCCCTGCCTACTCTTAGGGTCCTGTGGCTACTCTCTAATAGCTGGGGCCCGGGGCCCAGGGCCCAGGCACTGGGCTGGGGAGGTGAGCAGGGGCCTTTCCCGCCAAGGCGGGAACATGATCCTCTTGCTTGGACTTATGGAAAACCAGACTGATCATTTTCCACTTGTTTCCATGCTTCGAGTGTCTGAGAAGATTGTTTTTCTCTCTCCTAACTCCCTCCTCCATCACTCCCCCCCCCAAAAAAAAAAAGTCGACTTTGTTTTTGAGCATTTCCCCGGAGCCCTGGCCAAAGGCCCGGGGCAGATGCCGGGTGCTGTCTGCCAGTTGCCGCCACTGTCCTCAGGGCTCCTTCAGGTGGAGGAAATGGCTGATTTTCCACGCCTTCCAGTTGGCCTTTCCCCAAGGCACAGCTGGCCTGGGACACATGCCCGGCCTCCCCCGCCATCACGGCCCCGCCAGGCCAATCTATGCCCAGCCCTGTGTGATTCCTCCACGATGTGTGACTCAGTGTTCCTAAAAGAGGCTCCCGGTGCCGGCAGCTGCAGGGTCACGGGGTCAGCGGGGCACGCTGGATCGGTCCAGACACTGGAGAAGTGTGTCAACGAGTATGACATCCACGGGGCCACTTGCTGGGACTCTTTGCTTCTCTATCCATTGTTCTGAAGGGCCCCTCAAGGCCTGCACCACATGCAGCATGGTCATGGAGAGAACCAGGACCTGTGCAGGGACCCAGGTGCAGGTGTGGCCTGGCAGGTGGCTGGGAACCAGGCACTCACAGCATTAGGGGGCTGTCTGTGTCATTGGAGGACCAGGAGAGGGTAACAGACCTCCTGAGGAAGGACAGGCTATAGCATCAAGAATCTTCCTGGCAGGGGTGTGCGCTGAGGGGCGGGCGGGCAGGCCACAGAGGCACAGGGGCCCGGCACACAGCAGTAGCTTACACTAGATTATAGCCTACGGCAGAGCCCGGGCATGGACCTGACAGAGCGAAACACACAGATCCATGGCCAGTATTGTATGCAGGATGGATGGCAGTGCCCACTCTGGTGTGAGGACAGCTAACGATGATGGACCCCAAGGAGCTGCCCAGCCTCAAGGGGTCATATAGCCTTCAGTCCTCTCAGGTCTTGTGGCAGTCCATTTCCCCTTTGTCTCCAGGGCCCTGGCTGGGCCTCCATATGAAATAGCATGCTGAGAAAGACAAGGCCATTGTACCCCATCTGTCCCACTGGAAAGTCAGGTTGTGCCAGCTCATGGGCATTGAGGGCCCTGTAAGGAAGCCCCAGAGAGTAGGCTCATCGCTGACCCCATGACTTCGGTAAGCCCCCTTTCGGGAAGAGGTGGCTATGCTGGCACTGGCATCCCTCAAACCCCTTGATGCCAGATCTACCGTCTATCCCAGGGCGACACCAGGTCCACACAGACTTGTGTGGTCCAGGACACCAGGAAATTTCTTGTGTCTCCCCTCCTCTCCCTGTCCCCCCCATTCCCCCAGACCAGAGAAAACCTGACTGCACAGGCTCTCTACGAGCGTGGCCCTGCTGGTCACCAGTCAGCTGCTGGAGCCCTGCTCAACCTGGCCCTCTTGGGTCCTCTTAGGGTAGATGGTGACTTGCTGGACCCCTGAGGCTAGCTGGGCTCAGGCAGAGCCAACACCCCAGTGTTATGGAGTTCAGGTCCCCACCCTGGAACCTGCCAAGGCCCTTTCAGAGCAAGCCCCTCCCCAACAACTACTGGATATGAACCAGCCCTCGAAGGCGGGAAGGAGCTGAGTGAAGACCAAGTTCAACTAAAGGCTGTGATCCAGGCAGAGCAGGATCAGGGGTGAGGCATCAAGGAATCTGGCACCAGTGTCCTCCAAAGTCAGGTGCCAGCCCTCCAGGAAGTCCTGGCAGAGGGCAAGACACTAACACTGTGAAGCGCCAGGTTACAAATGCCCCCGGGGTCACTGGCCTGGCCAAGACCCGCCATCTCTCAGCTTAAGCCACAGTGGACACATTTACATGGGTTCTCAATGGTCAGCTGGTCCCTGTACCCACACTGAGGCCACATTCCTTTGTCTCCAGCTAAAGCCTGCATAGTGATTGATGTCTGTAATTAAGCTAGGCTCCGGCGAATCAAGGATGTGGTATGGCTCCCGAGGGCAGCTGGCCCTGGGGGGCCCAAGCTAGGAAGAGGCCTATGCCCTGGTGCTTGTGCACAAAGGACAGGGATGCGCACAGGGGTGCCGCAGGGGTGGGGTTGGGGAGGGAGGCTAGTGGTGGAAAAACAGATCCATTTTTCTTCAGCATTTCACTGATGTTAAATGTATTACCATGTTGGGCCAGTTCCAGAATTCAAATTAAAAGCATAAATAAAGACACATTTTGTTTCCATCGCAAGCTCTCCCCGCCCGCAGGGCCCCAGGGAGGTGAGGTCACTGCAGCCTTGATTACAAGAAGGTCCCTGGGGCTGGGCAAAGCTCCTCCTTCAGGGGCCTGTTGGCCACTGGTATTGCTTTTTTTTTTCTGGGGAGGGGGCAAGGAGGCCAGCCTTAAGCAGAACTGTATGAAAGGTAGGGAGTTGTGGGTGGGGTTGGGGCTACGCATGGGGAGCTTAGAGACAAGGTGACCTTGCCCACACCTATCTGCCTAGTTCTGCCAGGATTGGAGGGGCACCCTCAGCCTTAAGCTCTGAGCCAATGCCCTCCACTCTTAAGCCTCACTTTGCCTCAAGAGAAGTGGGAGCACATGTGAGGTACCTCCATGAGGGAAGGGGCACCCTGCACCCCAACCACCACCACCATGAGGTTCCAAGATCCACCCCACCTGCTGTCTTCTGCCCCCTTAGGAACAACTTCCATGAGCACAGTGTGTGACCCAGTGCCTTGCTGTGGTGATCCCCAGGGAACCCCCATGCTACTCATCTGGGGCTGCCGGAATTACACACATCTTCCCAGTCGCCTGTCTCCCCTTCTTGGGGAAAGCCCAAGGCTCTTACGTCCCTGCCAGTCAGGGTCCTCAACCTGTGGCGGTGGGCGCAGGGCACCCACTGCCCTCCGGGCCTTTCCCTCTCAGGCATCCCAAAAAGGGGTTGTACTGGATGGCCACACCCACCCCGATATAGAGCTGATCTCCTTGGCCTTGCCAGAAGGGAAGCAAGGATTGTGGATGTCTCCCATGGGTGCCAGGACAGGGCACCCAGAAAATCTCCATGCTGCACTCAGGTCATGTGACCTCGGTGGACTTCACCCATAGCCACCTTTGTAAAATCCTTCTCCATCCACACCCCAGCTGCGAAGCCACACATCCACCCCATCCACCAAAATGGATGGCCCCAGAGGCCTCTAGATCTGCTCGGCCCAGATATGTGGTTTCCCAGAAAGATCCTTCCGTAAGAGTTGATCCCTGCCTCCTCTGTCTTTTTCTCGTATGCCATCTTAGCCTGGCAGACCCCAGCACGCCTTCACTAGATCTTGACGTTCTCAGGGCAAGGGGTAGGGGTGGGGTAGGTCCACTAGATGGGTGTAGAGGAGGCCTGGGGTCCTGGGGCTGGGCAGAAGGGGTCACAGCAAGGGACAGCAGGGTGCTGCAGAAGCCCTGCCAGGTGACCGTGAGCACCTCCATCGAGCGTGTGCTTGCCTGGCCTCTTGCAACATGACAGCTTCGAAAATCCTTGAGCAAAACCAGCCCTGTGTGTGTTAATTAGAATTTCCATGTCTTCAACTTTCTCTTGGACCCTGCAGAATCTCACGCCAAGACGTTCAAGTTTCTCTTTTCCAGCCAGGCCGCTGTGGCCTGGCTTTCATCCACATCTCTACTAATGTCTCCTAAATTCTGCATTTGTCAGTGAGCTTGGGGCCAGCCTGTACCTTTCTGGAGCTGGGGGCAAATGTCACAAGGCTAGCCCACAACTTACTCCATACAACAGAGGGCTAGATCTTTGCCTGGGACATGGAAGGGACACCCAGGGCCTGCTGTGGCCTCAGTGCCCCTGTGCTGCTTGCTTGAGAGGACAGAGAGACTGTACCAGGTCCAGTGTAGAACCTGGGACAGGGTGGGGGGAAGAAGGGGACAAATAAAAGGCTGTATGGGGCCCAGTCAGGACCAGGGCAATGGGGGCAGATGAGACTCCAGTGTCCTGTCTTCTGTGGAGCCCCACCTACCTCTGTCTGTACAGATGACCAGGGAGTCCTCCCTGCAGAGCTGTGCAGGTCTGCATGAGTCACAGCATCCCTGTCAGAGCACCACGTGGCCCAAGCCAGGCTCAAACCCATCTCTGAAATGCACGGGGGGGGGGGGGAGAAGAGGGAATTAAATGCTCTCCTAATTTAATTAAAAGCAAGGCAGAGTGGCTCAGTGGGAAGGGGACAGGGCTGGGAAGGAGATGCCCTCAGTCTGGCTCCCAGCCTGCACTGGCCTAGCTACAGGCAGCCCCTCCAAGCTCACTTCCTCCTCTGAGCATGCTGTCTGCAAGGATACCTAGAGGAGAGCAGGGGTCCTGGGCGCCATGTTGATGTGCAGGTCCCAGCCAGGCTGGTACTGAGAGATGTGGCAGCACAGGGCCATGCGATTTCACAACTACACTGGAGGTCCATGCAGGCTTGTGGAGTGATGGAGAAGGGTTCCCGGTTATCTCCCTGCCTTGAGTGAGAGCACATTACCCTGTGCGGGATATGTGTGTGGGCGTCCCAGTGCCACAGCCAGCCTTGCCCAGGTTTGAACTGACACTCATTAACTCGCGCATGGGGACACTTTCTTGCCTGGCAGCCTTTGCTTGATGTGATATCTTGGGCCCTGCCAAGGCCCTTGGCTGGTTCTCCACTGGGGGCATGGCCTACGCATTGCTCCTTTACCCTACCGCCCATGGGCACTGGGTAGTTTCTGGTATGGGCTGGTGAGGAATATAG